CCCGGCTAGTGATTAAACTGAAAACCGCCCTCCCCACAAACGACATCTCCGTGAGCCAAGCTCTTGACGACTGCTCCTTCACCCCGACAGTGTCCCAAAGCTGACAGCCACCTACCCCAGCATGATCACCTTCACAGCCCCTCCTCTACCCAACCCTCTCCCGCATCTTAACTACCTGACACCCCTCCAATCTAACAGCCTGCATCCCACACCAATCTTTGCCCTACCATCACCTGCTGCTGGACCTGACACCATGCCTCCCAACACCCTACACCCACCACCAACACCTAACATCCCTCTCCCCACAACAACTCCTGCCCTGATAGCCCACGAACCGACACCACCTCTGATATCCCACCGTAGTAAGCCAAAGAATGATGTTTCACACTTATTTTGCCAATGAAAAGCATTTTTGTTGAATGTTTTGAATCATTTCTTACACGTTTCCCATTGCTTGTTTAAAATTGTGCCTTTAATGAGAGATATTTGACATCTAAATGAAACAGTTTCTCAGTCTTTGATTTTGTAGAAAGATGGTTATTCTTAAAAGTATCATAGTTTGTTTTAATGAGCCAGAAGCAGTTGTTTGCCAGAATGGTTTGAGCAGGCATTATTCAAATATCCCACAAGGAATCAAAACAGGAAAATGAGTCATTAGAAAACGTAAAAGGAAATTACAATTTCTTGCCCTGAGGCCTACTGGAAATAGTTCCCTTTATTTTATTGCATGGTTGATGCAATGAGTCCATAAATAGGAGTGTAAGAATGACAAGGTCTAGCCACAAGAAAAACCTGCCAGTTTTCAGTTGGTCTTTTTGAAACCATAATTCATGCTTTTAATATATTTCAGGGATATTAAGGTCCATTTTTCTTAACAGTGACCTATTGAATACCTAATGAGTATGGTGTAGTGGTGGTACATAGATTGTTCTAGCTGTCAGGAGGGAAGGCCAGTGGAGAGAGGGTTAAAAAAGTGTTTTACTTTCCTGCAGTCTGTTCTGATGCTCGCATTGACATTCCTGTTTAGAAACTTCCAACAAAAATGCATACTGCTTGCATTTTGCAACATTCTTCTAATTAAAATTTTTAAATGTATGGATGGAGATCTAAAATAAAAACAGGAAGCACTGGAGAAATTCAGCTGGTCTAACAACATTTGTGAATAGAGAAAGAGAGTTAGTGTTTTGAGTCTAATATCACTCTTCTTTCGATTTTGGAGATTGGAAGTACAATCTAATGAGGACGTTACTGTCACATCTCCACAGTTTGGAAGAAACGCCCCAGTTCGCTGACACTTGGAGGGCAGCCAGACACTTGATGCCTGCTGAGTCTTGGATAGAAGATGATCTCAAGGTGTCAGCTATTAAAGATATCTTAAAAATGTCAAGAAAGACCCAAGAACAGTGGGGCAAGTTTATCAGAGGCTGTTGATAAACCAGACTGAAAGACAGAGGAGTTCATCAACATTTGCAATCTGGCATTTGTGCCTCTGGCTGCCTCTGTAGGTAGGCTGGCACAGTTTGTCAGCGATGGAAAGCGGGAAGTGGTGCCAGCAAGTATCCATGGGAGGAGCAGCCACACACAAGACCCCTCTGAAGTTTCTTCTCGGGACACTGCAGAGGTGCCCAGGCTCACCGCCTCACCCCTGCTGATGATGCCAAAACCTGAAGCAGTCCGTGCCAAGGAGGGTGAACCTGCATCTGGACAGAACGCTCTTGGCAAAAATGTGCCTCAGAACAACCACCGAAGTCTTCCAGACTAACAGGACCAACTACAGTACAGGCTCCCTCCACCCTACCTATGGAAGTTAGGGCTGCACTTAGGCGCCTTAGGACTTAGAGGAAGTAAACATTTACTGAGGGTACATAAGTGTATTCGTGACGTATCATTGAAAATACTCTTGTGATTTTGAAAAAAAATCTTCATTTGCACCCTTCGATTGTCTGCATGAGTGTCTTTGTCACAGTCAGACCTGGTGAAATCACACCCCATTGGACGGATGAGTGGCCTCTTCAGATTTTGCAAGGATGAAAGAAGTTGTAATGATCAATATTGCTCATCTCTCAAGCTTCCAGCTCCTTGATTGCAGATAGCCTCCATTCCTCGCACTGTGACATTGAGGACTGCAACCAAGGCATTTCACTTGAATTCAGACAAGACTGAAGCCACAAGCTGTTTACGAGGATAAATCCAGCATAAATCCTCCACACATACATCTACCATGCGAATGAGTCCACAGAATCAGTGATGATTCTACTCATCTTTGGAGGGAAAAGTTTTCCTTAAAGAAGGTGATCAAAACTGCTTACTGTACTCTAGATGTGGTCTCACTAGCACTTTGTACATTTGCAATAAGACTCCCTCCCCATTTCTTTCTTTTTTTAAACTCAGAAGTGCTATTACCTGCAGTTGAGCACTGTGACTTTTTCTTTCAACCATGTAGTCAATCAAACGTTTGCAAGCAAAGACCCTTATGGGCAATACAAACCATCAAAGCTGAGGGGGAGGTAGGGAGAGCAGGAAATCGAAATGGAGTTGGAGGGTGAAATAAAGCACCGTATTGCCCACATTGCCCACATGTTTTAAAGGCATTTATGCATTGATGGACACCACAAACTCCCTTTTTCAAGGTCACCTGGGCACGAATGTAATTGTGGTAGAGGGGCAGACATACAGTAGATATGACCCCTCCACCCCGCTGCCTGGACCTGTTTATAGCCAGCCCGGCCAGGCCCAGGAGCAGACCCACGAGAGGGTCCTTCAGTGCTAACATTCCATTAGCCTTCCTGATTACCTGCTGTACCTGGGTGTTAACTTGCTTGTGTTTCATGCCCAAGTACCCATCAAGTCATTTTGTGTTGCAACATTCTGCAGTTTTTCTTGACTTAAATCATTTAAATTGTTCTCCCTTCCAAAATGAACAATTTTACATTTTCCCACATTACACTCCATGTGCCAAATATTTGCCCAATTACTTAACTATCAATATCTCTGTTTAAACTCTTTGCATCCTTTCTTAAATAAGGAGACCAATACTGTACACAATACTCCAAATGTGATCTCACCAATGCCCTGTATATCTGAAGCAAAACCTCCCTACTTTTGTGTTCAATTCTCCTTTCAGTAAATCATGACATTTTATTAGCTTTCCTAATTACTTGCTGTACTTACATACTAACCTTTTATAATTCATGCAAAAGGATCGCTTTGCATCTTAAAGTTCAGAAAGCTGTCACTATTCAGATAATATACATTTTTTATTCTTGTAGCCAAACTGGACAGTGTCATATTTTCCCACATTTTACTTCATTTTCCAGACATTTTCCATATCCTTTTGTAGCCTCCTTATGTCCTCTTCACAACTTACTTTCCTACTTATCTTTCGTGATTGGCAAATTTTGCAAGTATGCCTTCAGTCTCTTTGTGCACTTGTGTGTATCTCTCTCTGAGAACTAGCCTTTCCATCTATTTGAGTGAGGATGCGTTTTACATGGTTGTATGATGTGGAGGTGCTGGTGTTGATCTGGGGTGGACAAGGTTAGAAGTCACACAACACCAGGTTATAGTCCAACAGGTTTATTTGAAACTTGTGTTTTCAAGGAAACCTGTGGACTTATAACCTGGTATCATGTGATGGTTGTATGAAAAAGTGGATTCTTCCATGTACATATTTATCTATGTGCACATACATCGTGGCATGAGTGAACGTGTACCTAATTATTCAGGCTAAATTTCTGCCCTGATGTGGGGCTGGGTACAGAGTTGAGTCCTTTGAGTATAGGAGTTGGGAAAGTCATGTTGAGGTTGCACAGGATATTGGCTCTTTTGAAATACTGAGTCCAGTTTTGGTCACCCAGTTATAGGCAGGGTTTTATTAAGCTGGAGAGGGTTCAGAGGAGATTTACCAGGATGTTGCTGGGTATGCAAGGTTTGAGTTATAAAGAAAGGCTGGATAGGCTGGGACTTTTTTGATTGGTGCTTGAGAGGTGACCTGTTAGAAGTTTATAAAATAATGAGGAGTATAGATAGAGTTAATGGTAATTGTCCTTTTCCTAGAATGGAGGATTTCAAGACAAGGGGGCTCATTTTTAAAGTGAGACGACAGAGATTTAAAAAAGACATGAGAGACAAATGTTTTGCACCAAGGGTGATTCACATGTAGAATGAACTTCCTGAGGAAGTAGTGGATGTAGGTACAATTACAACATTAAAAGACATTTGGATAAGTACATAAATAGGAAAGATTTGGAGGGATATGGGCCAGGAGCAGGCAGTTGGGACTAGTTTAGTTTAGGATTATGTTTGATATGGGCTAGTTGGACCGAAAGATCTGTTTCCATGCTGTATGACTCTATGACTGGCACCATCCTGCCTGGTGTTGTTCTGCCTGTTTTTCTGGAACAGCAAGGGTATTGTGATAGAGAACCCTCTCCACAATGGTACCCTGGCTGTTGCGGTCATTTTCCTAAGCCAGAATCTTTTATGGTTGTTCAGCGTGTGTCTCAAGATGGTGGCACGCTCTCTGGCCCTTACCTCCACTGGGAGTTTTTATTCCCTCATGAGCCTACCCATCTACTGTCATTAATTGGATCACAAACTCCTCCTCTGACCAGTAATGGGCCAGTTGAGACAAAATCACTGCAGTGTGACTGGTCCGTGCACAACACAGAGTCATGACCCCCATTTGACCCCAACATTGTGATCCTGACTCAAAATGTCAAATCCTCCCTAGGTCAATTTGAACAGTTACGTTAGGATATCCATGCATGTGTTATTTTCTATTGCCCAGTAGTATTCTGATCATGACACGTTGATAGACCATATTTGCCCTTGGCAAGCATTTACATCTCCTCATAAATTTGTGACTCCGACAGTGCAGACCCATGCAACTGGAAAAATTGAGTCTGTTTGAACTCAGTCCTAATTTCAAATGGTCCTTGCTGTTTTCTAGTTTCCTGCCTGTGTGATTATGCTGCCATCTATTTTGATTTTTTTTTCAGGATGTGGTGGAGAGTTGCTTGGGCCAAAAGGCAGATTCAGCAGTCCTGGCTATCCAGACAGGTATCCACATAATCAGGAATGTATTTGGGTCATTCACGGAGATTCTGGCAGCAGTATTGAGCTCACCATCCATGAGTTTGATGTGGAATATCACCAGACTTGCAATTTTGATGTACTGGAGGTATGAACTCTAAATACAACAAATTTATTTTCAGGAATGAGATTACTTCTGTTTCCTTTAAGGTGACTGTCGGCATTATGAATGGTAGTATTCCTTTAATCAATTAGAGTTTCTGCTTTGAGTTGCAGTTTGAGTAAAATTTATAGGTTTAAATTAATTTGATTTAGGAACTATTAGTACTAGCGTAATATATCATTGTATATTACACAAGTGTTGGTAGATCCTAAATAAATCATTGAGCCTCTCATACCTCGTGTGTGTTACTGCTGCCTTGGGTAGGAATCCAGGCTTTAGAAACATCAGACCAAAGAGAGAATACTACTATGGCCAGGGATGCGAAAGACATGTCAAGAGGAACTAAAAACTGCAATTGTGATTTTCTAATGCTTTGTTAGAGACAATGATGATGATGGAACAAATTGAAATGTCCTTCTCCAACAGAATTGGCTGCCTCATTCATCTATATGATCCAAACAAACAAAAAAATTAGGAGCATTTGTGCTGCCATTCACTAGGATCAAGGCTGATTGGATTACGCCACATTTTCTCTTACCACTAATAACTATTCATTCTCTTGCTTATCAAGAATCTATCTACCTGTGCCTGAAAAGAAATAGTCTAGGACTCTGCTTGTAGCATCGTTTTGAAGAAAAGTTATGACCTTTTTTGTGAGCTGAGTTCTGATAAAGAGAGATACTAGACTTGAAACATTAACTCTACTTCTCACTCTACAGATGCAGGCAGACTTGTTGAGCTTCTCCAGTACATTTAGTTTTTATTTCCGATTTTCAGCATCTGCACAATATTGTTTTTATTTCATTTATTAGTCTAGTAGACATTCTCTTAACTGCTTCCAATTTATTTGCATCCTTTCTTAAATAAGGAGACCAATACTATACACAGTACTCCAATGTGATCTCACCAATGTCCTGTATATCTGAAGCATAACCTCCCTACTTTTGTGTTCAATTCTCCTCTCAGTAAATGATAACATTTTATTAGCTTTCCAGACATTTTCCAATCACTAAATCTATCTATATCCTTTTGTAGCCTCCTTATGTCCTCTTCACAACTTACTTTCCAGCCTTTCTTTAGTAATCGGCAAATTTTGCAAGTACCCTTCTGTCTCTTCGTGCAATTTATTTACGTAAATTGTAAAAAGTTGAAGCCTCAGCACTGATACTGTGGCACACAATTCACTACACCTTGCCAACCAGAAAATGAACCAGTTATACCGACTTTGTGTTTCCTGTTAGCCAGTCAATCTTCTATCCTTGCAATTTATTACCATTTACACTGTGAGCTTTTATTTTCCACAATAACCTTTGATATGGCACTTTATCAATGCCTTCTGGATATCTAAGCTCAGCATACTCGTTGGTCCCACTTTATGCACAGCACGTTACTTTCTCAATTAACTCTAATAAGTTGGTTATACATAATTTCCCTTTCATAAAACCATGTTGGTTTTCTTTTATTACCTTGAACTTCTCCAGTAGTCCTGCTATTATGTCTTTCGTAATAGTGTCGAACATTTTCCCTGAGATAGTTGTTAATGGACTGGCCTGTCAATTCTTGGTTTCTGTCTCCCTCCCTTTTTGAATAAAGGAGTTACATTCACAATCTTCCAACTTAATGGAACCTTCTCTGATATTAGGCAATTTTGAAAAAAGCATGAGAAGGGGAACTAAACATCATAAGAGTGATTTCTAACAGTTGTTTGGAGGCAGTGATGTTGATAAAAGTAAATTGACGTGTCTCCCTACAGCAGTGTTGGCTGTCTTTGATTCCGGCTACAGTCATTCAGTCCATCAGCCCAATCCAACAGTGTAATTTTTCACAGAGTTGACCTATTTGGACCTCTCTGTCCCAATTGGAAAAGCACAGGGCCAGAAAATAAAAGTCAGAACAACACCAGCTACTGTTGTAAGATGCTCTTTTCAAGCACCAAATGAATCAGCATGTTGCAGGTCTTAAAGCAAAAATAAGGACAGCGTGCATTATTTTGATTATTCTCTTTGTTAATGGAGTGTGTCATTTTGTGGCAGCCATTGTATTAACTTTCATGTTGTACACTACACATTAAATTTCAGAATTTCATATTCGTCAGAAATGCAGTACTTACTTTGACCCAGGGTAGATGTGGCCATTTCGTTCTGAGAATAACCAAATTTATAATTTAAAAGAAAAGCTGAGAGAGGGTGGGTCTTTGATTTTTCATTGCAGAGTATTAAGCTCAAGCACATTGCAAACTAATGGAATGAAGGCTTTGCCTTACACTAGCTGTATTAAACCAATGTGAAATACATTTACCTTTTAGTAAAGTTCCTAATGTCAGAAATTAGCTCCAGTTAGCGATCGTTATAAAGTGGAGGTTGGCCCCCTTCCCCTCTAAAAACTAAAACTGAAACACCCAAAGAGAAGCACTTTGTCCTATAATCTGTAAAAAGAGTGTGAAAAATGGTGTAATTTGCCTTTCAGCAACTTTTAGTGGCTAAATAAAATAAACCCCGACACTCACTTTAAATTGTTTATTTATTTATCTGACTCTAACAATCAATAAATTAACTGAACTATTAACAAACTGAAAAATTTCCTCCTAACTACTAACTATTCCCAAATAAAGCAAGATTCTAACGGTATGCCGTTCCAATAAATACAAGTCCCACTTATATATTAAAAAAAGTAGAATTTAGTCTCTCGAAATTACAGCCAGCTTACGTGTCTACCGGAATGTTCTGTGCCATCTCTGTCAATTCTTCTGTCAGGAATGCCTTCTCCGTTGATTCTTTTGTCAGGAATATTAACTAATTGTGCCATTAGTAGAGTTGTTATTTAGATGGTGCTTTCTCTAAGGCATAGAGGAGGCAGTGAGAGCCAGCGATTCTCTCTCTCGAGAACTGAGGGCCATTAGCTCTGGCAGATGGCAGCTAGCTCTGGGGTCGTTGTCCAACTGTCCCCTTCTTTTTATACCCTTGATGATTTATCAATATTGCCTACAATAAGATTGGTCCAATGTTGTCAAAAACATCAGACTTAAATTTAATAGGTTTTTGCTATCTAAGTTCGTGGTTCAGATTGATTGGTTAAAATCAAAAGTCTGTTGTCTTAGTTAAAAAAAAATTGCTGCTTGGCCTGATAATTGTAGGGCCTTTTGATACAAATGTTTCAATTCAGGTGCTCTCTGTGTACATGCAAACTTTCAAGCTGCTGTTCATAGACGTCCATTTTAAATCTCTAAGCACAGGAAAAGCACATGATCTTTTAAAGGGACCACACAATGCTTCCTCCCCCCTAGCATTTTACAAACACCAAATTCTAACTCCCTGCCTCCCAATCCACAAGTACTCTATCCAACTTCGAGCAGTGATTGCCCAACCAGGTTATAAGGACGTATTTGAGGAATAAAAAACAACATAGTTTTGTGAGGGGTTACTAATCTGGGACTAGAGTTAAAAGCAATCACTGTCTAATCACTATAGTGTTTTTGTAATTTGAAAACTTGTATATAGGGAGAAAATAGGATATTTAAATCCTTATTTGGTGAATTGAATTTCTAAAATAGATAAGAGTCTCAACAAGATGCATCTTTTTTAGTCAGAATGGTAGAAAGCTCCCCTGTTAGACAGTAACACTGTTTCAAAACAAATTCACTCTTGTGAGTCTGGTTATTGTAGTAAATCAATGGCTCTCATGAAGGAGTTTTTCATTCTTTTTGGTAAACCGAAGGAACAAAATAACAAAAATACAAATCAATCCAATAATAAACTACACTTTTGTAGTACTTCAATTGTATCCAAAGCTGATAAGATCACTTCTCAAGAGTGAAAAGTACTTGATTTGATATCCCGAACTGTTTAGAAAGAAACTGAATCTACGTGTGGTTTAAGGCATGGACTATATATGCATGAAAGAGACAATGGCAGCCTGTAGTTAGAACAAGGGAGATATTAGGAGGATTGGTGTTGGCTATAAAATGCTACAAAACATACCTCCAAGTTCAACAAATTCTGATGAAGTATTATATTGAGAACGATAACCTTTCACTCCCGTGGGAATGCAGTTGGCTCTAAAATGGTACAAAACATTCCTCCAAGTTCAACAAATTCTGATGAAGCACTTTGTTGAAAAGATTAACCATTCATTCTCTAACATGCAGTTCCAACGTTGCATGTTTTTATTTGAGATTTGTAACATGTTAGTTTTTGCTTTTGTTTTTCAAATTTGCTGCCTGACTTCCATTTAGTTTAGTTTTCAGATGCTTCCAAAACAAGTAGCTCGTTGTGATTTGTATTTCATGGTTTCACTGTAGTTACTCTTCAGTTCTTTATTTTTCCCTCACGGGCACACAACTATATTTTTACTCAAAGTATATTTCCACGATCGCTTGCCAGGTCTGTAAACTAGGCTAAGGATTGCTCAGAAGTTTGGAATGCTGACTTTAACATTAAAATCAATGGAACTAATAAAGCAGAAAGAAGTAGAAGCCAAACTAAATCCATAGGCATTATGCAGATGTCCTTGGGTCTGAGCTTTAAATACACCCATTCATTTCGACACAGAACCTCTGCATTTCACTTCTATGAGTGGATGCCCGTGCAGATTATCAGGCCAGTAACAAGGTCACCTAGAAATGGTAGGAAATGGTGTTCATGTTACAAAAGTCCTGTTCCATCTAGTTTTTATATAATTGCAGGTGGAATGACAAAACACGTTTATTTTGAAAATAGAAATTAAGATTATTATTCATCTTCTTCTACCTTGACCAAAATTATTTTGCTTAAATAACAGTTTCACAGGAGTTGCCTCAGTCTCAAAGAATTTTCTTTTGAGGAAGTTACTAAAAAGATTGATGAGGGCAGAGCAGTAGACATTCTTTATTTGGACTTTAGTAAAGCCTTCATCAAGGTTCCGCATGGCAGATTAATGAGTAAAGTTAGGACACGCGGGATTCAGGTTGTGCTTGCCAAATGGAAATATAATTGGTTATCGGTAGGAGACAGAGAATGGTGGGGGAGGGTTGTTTTTCAGACTGGAGGCCTGTCACCAGCAGTGGTTCCACAGGGATCGGTTCTGGGTCCTCTTTTGTTTGTGATTTACATAAATGGTTTGGATGAGAATAAAGAAGGCATGGTCAGTAAGTTTGTGGATGGCACTAAAATTGGTGGCATAGTAGACATTGAAGAAGGTTTTCTAGGATTACAAAGGGATCTTGATCAAATGGGTCAATGGGCTTAAAATGGCAGATGCAGTTCAATCTGGGTAAATGTGGGCTATTACATTTTGGTACAACAAACAGGAGTAGGGCTTATACAATTAATGTTAGGCCTTTGGATAGTGTTGTAGAGCAGAGGGACCAAGGGATTTAGGTACGTAATTCTTTGAAGTTTGCATCACATATAAACAGGGTGGTTAAAAAGGCATTTGGCACGCTTGCCTTCGTTGCTCAGTCCTTTGAGTATAGGAGTTGGGAAAGTCATGTTAAGGTTTACAGGACATTGGTGAGGCCTCTTCTGGAGTACTGTGTCCAGTTCTGGTCACCCAGTTATAAGAAGGATATCGTCAAGCTGGAGAGGTTTCAAAAGAGATTTACCACGATGTTGCTGGGTATGGAAGGTTTGTGTTATAAAGAAAGGCTGGATAGGCTGGGACTTTTTTGATTGGTGCTTAGGAGGTTGAGAGGTGACCTGATAGAAGTTTATAAAATAATAAGGAGTATGGATAGAATTAATGGGAATTGTCTTTTCCCCAGAATGGGGGATTTCAAGATGAGGGGCACATTTCTAACGTGAGACGAGAGAGATTTTAAAAAGACATGAGAGACAGATTTTTTATACAGAGGGTCGTTCACGTGTGGAATGAACTTTCTGAGGAAGTAATGGATGAGTGTACAATTACAATGTTTAAAAGACATTTGGAAAGGTACATGGATAGGAAAGGTTTGGAGGGATAGGTATGGAAGGTTTGAGTTATAAAGAAAGACTGGATAGACTGGCACTTTTTTCACTGGAGGTTGAGAGGTGACCTTATAGATCTTTATAAAGTCATTAGGGGTGGAGATAGGGTTAATGGTAGTTGTCGTTTCCCCAGGATGAGGGATTTCAAGACTAGGGCGCACATTTTTAAGTTGAGAGGAGAGAGATTTAAAAAAGACAGGGGGGCAAATTCTTTACACAAAGGGTGGTTGACGTGTGGAATGAATTTCCTGAGTAACTGATAGATGTGGGCGCAATTACAACATTTAAAAGACATTCGGATAAGTATATGAATAGGAAAGGTTTGGAGGGATGTGGGCCAGGAACAGTCAGGTGGGACTGACTTAGTTTGGGATTATGTTCGGCATGGACTGGTTGGATCAAAGGGTCAGTTTCCATGCTGTATGACTCTATGATTCCATGACTCTGTGTATCCTTTGTGTTATTCAGGTGTATGGTGGTCCAGACATTACTTCTGTACGGTTAGCCCAACTGTGTAGAACCCGCCCACCAAACAACCCATTAGTGGTCTCCAGCACTGGAAATTATATCACTGTCCGATTTAAGACGAATTCAAATAGCAATGCAAAAGGTTTCAATGCCACCTGGAAACAGATAGCAGGAGGTGAGTCAGAATAAGAGGCCTGTTTTTAGGATCATTTGTAAATTTTGAACTGTTTATTGTAATATTTATTACTTCTGTTTGTTTGCACTAACTCACAAACTGTTTAAACTATGGTCATGTCTCCTGAAATGTTTGCATTGCTCGCAGATAAAGTTCCATGCATGCACACTTGGTGAAATTCCCTGCCAGTTAAAAAACATGGTAATGCCCAAATTAGCACAACAAATATGAACAAATGGGACAGAATGATGTCACTGGTAGTATTGGCAGGGATAATGCACATGGGCATTTTGCACATGCATACCAAGAGTGTTTTCAGTATGTATGTAGACATTATCTTGTACTACAAGTATGAGGTTCGTGCAATTATGACTTTGCTTGGCACCAATGGTAATAAATTGAACTGCACATCTTGGCTTGACTTGATCAAAAGATGAGGCAGTGAAAAGCTCTCTAAAGAAAGGAGTCTTTGCTCCACCTGACAAATAGAAGATGTGGTATTTCAGGAATCAGGATTTCATCTTGTTCTGGATTGAGGCAGCTAAGACTGACACCTGTGTTTTTGTTTGATTAATTATTCTGGCCCAGATATTCCAATGACCAGACCATCATTATTGATGGGAGTTGCACATGGCGACCCCATCGTAGAACACTTTGAAGGAATTGCTCAGAAAATCAAATTTTTCACTCGGTTATTTCTCTACATCTGGAACCCCCTAAAAGTCTCCATAAATCAGCCATTTCTGAGGGTTCTGATGAAGTTAAGTAAGTAGCTACTCAGGAAGAGTTAGGTTATTAAATATGTTATCTAATTTCTAAATAACTATTCAACTAACCCCACACTTATCACACAAACCCCAAACTACACCTCTGTCAGACTCCTTACATACCCCAGATCCTGAACTGATCTGATCTGACACCATCCTTCCCTCCAGCCTCACACCAGATCTGACCCAAACCCCCTCTCCTGCCTGCTGGACTCAATCTGACAATATCTCCCCATCACCAGACCTGAACCCCTCAACCTAGCACCCTATCTCCTATTCATCTGGTACCCTACACAGGACTCCACCACTTTTCCATTAGACATCCTATCCACCTGGCACCCTATTATTTGGCATCCTTCACTACTACCCATCTGGCACCCTACCCTCCCAGCATCCTAACATCACACTTGCCTTATGTACTTATTGTGTCAAAATAGCTGTCACAACCTTTAAGTTTGAGAATACGGTGGCTGACCTCTGTGAAAAGAGGGTGTCCTTTGCCTTCCTTTGACAGTTCTGCACAATGAAAGAATTGTCAGAGTGGAAATACAGCTTCACATTTCTGAAGGTGACCTCAGTGGAATTTCCTCTCAGAAACGCTAATAAGCTTCCTTCTTTCATAAAAGTAAATCTGAGTGAGAGTGCCACTTTTTAGGATCTTCCATCTTAATGCAATAACAACTTGCATTTATTTTGTATCTTTAACATGGCAAAACATCCTAACATGTTTCATAGGAGTTTAATCAGGGAAGAGATGGCATGAGCTACATGAGATATTAGAACACTTGTCCAAAAACTCTGTCAAAGAGCTAGATTTTACTTGATGTGCATAATGCTGTGTTGAAATACATATATATTTTTAAGCACTATTAGCGAACACAAGGATGCCAATGAGTAATTACTGTATATCTGGTCTTGTTGAGTTAAGTGGTGTACAAACCTGTTGTTATCTACTCATCTTCAGCTCAGCGGCTACTTCATTGTTAAAACATAGACACCTCAGACACTGTTCCTGGCCGAGGCAGAGGTAGGATAAGTGCTCCCTGTATACCCTTTTTAGATAAAATCTTCTTTGAGATCGAGGTGTCATCCTCCTCCCTGTTTGCGGAGCTCCCTCTCGCTGCTGTCTATAACTGAAAACTGTCTCCCATAATAGGTGCCTTCGGTGAACATGGGCAAGTTTGACAGGTTTTCAAATTCCTCTGACCTCTTCACAAAGGCAAACACCATTCCCTTTTGAATCCAAACTTTTCCATACTACTGCAATTACGTAGGATACAGCATTTCTACTCAAACTACAGCACAAATGAAAGACAAAAGCATTGCACTTGAAAGTCCAATGGTGATCCCTTTCAATAGTGCTATTGGACTGAGGTCCCTAGTGAATGTTTAAAATGAATATTTGAAGGGCCTGTGATGTCCAAAATGACAGATTTGTGCTAAATCAGCAGTTGTTAACATCACAAATGCCCACTCTGCAAACTTTGTCAAAATCACGCATACTGTGTGGCCAAGCCAGAAGCAACTTTTTTAAATTGACTCGTGGGACGTGGGCATTATGGCTGGCCAGTTTTGATTTAAGGCTGCCCTTAAGTGCTTACTAAGCCATTTCAGAGGGTAATTGAGAGTGGGTCTGGAGTTACACGTAGGCCAGACCAAGTGAGGATGACGGATTTCCTTTCCTGAAGGATATTAGTGAACCAGATGGGTTTTTTGACAATCAGCAATGGTCTCATGGTCATCAGTAGATTATTAATTCCAGATTTTTAAAAATTCAATTCAAATTCCACCATCTGCCCTGGCAGGATTCGAGCCCAGCTCCCCAGACCAGGAGCTGAATTTCTGGATTAATAGGTCGAGTGATAATACCACTGGGCCATTGTGTCCTCTATATTGGTAACTTGGCTGTCATCTTACAAGCTCCTGTCTTCTGTATCTTCAGCATCCGCAATGCTACAAAGCTAAATTTTGCAGCCTGCATGCCTTGTTAAGGAATCTTCAATGTGATTCATTGAGGAGACTCCTTGTTCACACAGCTCTCTATAGTGGGCACTGTATTGTTTTGGCTTCTTTGTTACTGTAAATCACAGGGTGAAAGACCATAAATCCTGTGGACTAGAGCAGTGAATGCTCACACAAAAAATCAGGGCCTTTTATTAATATATTAATATTTAATCGTGATTTTTATCCCCACTGTTTGATTTGAAGTTGTAGAGAAGGCGTACAGTGTTGACTTAGCGGAGTAATTAGCCTTCTCCAAGTCACTTGCTGCAACATGAGAAATAGCTTTAAAGTTCTTTTTTTAAATTTATACATTTCCTCTTTCACTTTCAGGTTGTGGTGGGAATTTTACAGCTCCTAACGGTGAAATCCACTCACCAAACTATCCCAGTCCTTATGGCAGTAACGTTGATTGTTCCTGGGTCATCACTGTGGATTATCACCACCGTGTCCTGCTTGATTTTGCTGACTTCGACCTCGAACATCATCAGTCATGTGATTCTGACTATGTAGCTGTAAGTCAGTGAAATAAATGATTAAATCATAATTTATTTTGCAAGTAAGTTCAGTAGTTGCTTGAAAAAAGATTTTTATTAAAGAGTTTTGGAAGTGATAAGTTATATGATTGGGTAATTAATAAATCAATCCAATATTTATGCATCCATATAAATATTTGTTTGTATTATCTAAATATTTCAATTTACAAGGGTCAGTCAGTTTGCCTTTGCTGATAACCATTTCCAGGTCAACCTTATTTACCTGCAAAGAATGTGCCTCAATATTCTACTCAGTTCCTCATGTAGATGCTGAATTATACCTCAATTCCACATTTTTTTTAAAAATGAGCATACTCTATATCTCCACTTTTTGCAAGAAACATGACACTTCCCAAATAGACAGTCGATTTGTTTGGCTTTAACCAGATTTCATGAGAGTACCTGTGTGAAGCAGGAAAGTAACCTTTTCACTAGTAAATCCATTTTACATCAGCAAATATAACAAAAAGAGCCAGTCATCTTTATATTCAAGAGGTTAGAGAGTTCTAAACTACGCATGTTTAATTTAAGATGTTTATGCTTGATATGGAAATAGAAGTCAATGCTAGAAAACGTAATATTCCTCTGACAGCCAAGTTTTCATTACTGATTGTAAAGCTCACTCGACAACTGCCTCTGTGTTGGAATTTTTTTACTATTTTCACATGGAATTTGTTTCCCATTCCTAATTATCCATGAGCTGGTTGGTGCTCTAGGCCATTCAGAGGACAGATAAGAGTCAACCACATTGCTGTGAGTCTGGAGTCACATGTGGGTCAAGCCAGATAAGGATGGCAGTTTCCTTCCCTGAAGGGCATTGGTGACCAGATTGGTTTTTGTGACAATTGACAATGGTTAACATTAGACTAGGTTTTCAAAATTCCAGATTTTATTGAATTCAAATTTCACTGTGGTGTGATTTGAACCTCTGTCCCAGAGCATTAGCTTGGGGTTCTGGATTTTTAGTCTAGTGACTGTGGTCACTACCTCCCATATATAATGCTAACTTCAGAAAAGCATTCACTGAACCAAAATAACCTTTCTAATTCTCTACATCTGCCAACATCATAGTCGCTCTGATGAGATTGCCAGTGTAATGTTAAATATTATAGTGTTGATTTCTGCATGTTTTGGAGATTGGGTTGAGAATACTTTAACCCATTTGATGCGATTGAAGTAGATTGTTTAGAGGCTTCCTCTTGTGTATTCCTGGTGCATTAATAGTCAGAAATCTCATGGGATGAGGAGTAAAATTACATGACATTTGCCAGCCAATTTAAACTTTCCCCATTGTTCCTTCAAAACAGCTTGCTATGTTATACCCATCTTACAGAAGTTTAGGAAAAGATACCAATTCCCAAAACTGACCATAAAATTAAGAGGAAGTGTTCATTTTGATCTCCAGAACTGAGTAACTGTTCCAGACAGGAATTTGACCACATTACACAACAATTAGCTTGCAACTGATGAAACTAGTGCCAAGTAAACCCCACCTTATATTTCTCAGCACATTGTATAATATATTTTTCATCAATTACTATTGAAATAGTGTCTAAGATGAGGTCAGAAAAGCTAATTGCAGCTACTTTATTTTGCATTTTCAATTTTGCACAAATGAGCTAATATTCAAGTTTCTTAACAGGGTCTTGCAGATTCTGTTTAAAACAAAGGTTTTATTTTAAAGGAAATATCTGTGCTGTTAAACTGCATTTTAGAAATAGGGATTAACCACAGACCCACTGAAACATAATTTCCAATCAAGCTTGCTTTTTGTAGAGGTTGCCTTCTCCCAGCCTGTAGTATACACAATTACATATGCAAGTGTGAAATGTGCACAATTCCATACTTCGCCCTGTTCTGTTTGTTAAAAGATAAAGGCAGAGTTAATGATTTGATTTTAGTTATTCTAAAGTATTAGCAGTTCGGCATACACAGAAACAGAATGTATAATGAATTGGAACTATAGGATAAAGTTAATTAAGTAGTCTGCTTGATTTTTTAAAAATATTTCCAGTTTACATTTGATGAATCATGACACTGGCACAGTTCCAGAAAGAATCTGAATGACCCACACAAAGGATGAAGGAGAACTGGGTAGATCAGTTTAAATATATGTACACCAGATGCATAGAATTTCCTGTGTTTAAATGAAAGGAAATGTGAGTTGCTGTGAATGACCATTGCACTCATTAGGTTTGGAGGTTTCAGAATTGGAAACACATGTTCATTTTGCTTTAGACCCCTCCTGCTGCCAATCCAAAATTAGGTTTGAACAAGCTCTGTTTAACACATTAAAACATATTTGTGCTAATTTAATATTTATCTTGATGGATGTTTTTCTTCTACACACAACATTTTGCAAGTAACAAATGCATTGTCATTGGCTTTCTTGAAATAACAAACATTATCTGGTTGTTAAGATTGGTGTGCTTGAAAGTTTTGTGCTGATAGAAATAAAAGACAATCTAGAAATATGTTTGTGGTAATAATTAACTGGCAGTTTTTCACCACAGTTAAATAAGTAATTATTCTGAGCATCTTACTGATTAGAAGGAGGTGAAGCACAGTGGTAATGTAATGGGAACAGTAATCCAAGTTGCCCCGACTAGTGTTTTATGGACTCTTATGGTACAGTGTAGTGTACCTACCTCAGGGCTAGAAGGCCTGGGTTCAAGTCCCACCTACTCCAGATGTATATCACGTCATGTATGAACATATTGATTTAAAAATGTCTTTAAATGATTGGAGCTATCAATGACTATATCTGAACTAATCTAGCTAATTAGTAATAAACTTAACAATCTTTCTTCAGTTTGATAGGTGGAAATATATCTTATATCTTTTGCCTTCTCCTTTTGCCTTATCAACTTGTTTGCCTTATCAAGATATTTTACCAAGGTTTCCATTTATAAATTTTGTGAAACTATTGTCCATGTCAACTACACTATGTTTGTGAGAGACCTATTTGCATGGCTGTAATACACATTTAATGTTGAAGATCAGCCGAAGCAGGCAATTCAACTTGTTGCATTTGAGTTGACTGTTTACAAGAGCAGAGATAACAAGGTGTAGAGCTGGATGAACACAGCAGGCCAGGCAGCATCAGACGAGCAGGAAAGCTGATGCTTCGGGCCGAGACCCTTCTTCAGAAAATCTAGAAAAGTCAAGGCCCGAAACATCAGCTTTCCTGCTCCTCTGATGCTGCTTGGCCTGCTGTGTTCATCCAGCTGTATACCTTGGTATCTCAGATTCTCCAGCATCTGCAGTTCCTACTATCACTGTCTACAAGAGCAGCTCATCTCACACTCCTGCTCTTTCCCTGTGCCCCTGTAATGTTTTTCATGTCAATTATTTAACCAGTTTGCTTTTGAAAGGCATGACTTTTCTCTTTGGGTTCTGCAATTAAATACATTTTCTTGTTATTCATTCAATTCTATGACTCATGTTTGATGCAGTGGTGCCGTCACTGATGGTGATACAGTGCAGTTTTATAAGCGGTTAGTCTAGATTTGATTCCCAGCCTTGCTATTCATCATTTAGAGAGTCTGTGGTGCAGTGATAGTTTGCCTACCTCTGGGCAGCTGTTCTGTATTCACACCCTACCTACCATGGAGGTACCCTGATATGTCCATGCTGGTTGATTTAAAATTGATTTTCTAAAAAATCTGCCTTCACCATATTCTAAGGTTGTGTTTTCTGCATCCAAACCACTCGCTATGTGAAAAATATTTTCTTTTGGTTCTTTAGACATTTATGTTCAATCAATGTCCTCTGGTTCTTGATCCTTCAACCGATTTCTCTCCATCTACACTGTCTAGACTGATCAATATTTTGAATATCTCCATCAAATTTCTTCTTAACCTTCCTAAAGAGGACAGCCCCAGTTTCTCCAATTGTTCTAAGCACTGGGTGCAGAGATCTTTAAAATCTCACAAACAGGTGCAGTAAATAATCAGGAAAGCTAATGGTGGCCTGTATATCCAGTGGAATGGAGTGTAAGAATATAAAAGTTATGCTGCAGTTTTACAAAACTCTGCTTAGTCCCCACTTGAATATTATGAGCAGATTTGGGCGCCACATCTTAGGAATGATGCATTGGCCCTGGAGGGACTACAGTGTAGGTTTACGAGAATGATACCTGGGCTTTGGGGATTAACTTATGTGGAGAGATTATACAAAATTCGGCCTGTCTTCTCTTCAACATAGAAGCCTAAGGAGTAATCTGATTGAAGTCTTCAAGATATTAACAGAAAAAGACAGGGTAGATGAAAATAACTGGTTGGAACTAGGGACAATGCCTGAGAATTAGGGACAAACTGTACAGAACTTATAGCAACTCAGGAAAGGTGGTATGTATGCTGAAGTCAGGTATTAGAGGTTGGGATGGAAAGATTGAGGGTTTAGGCAGAGATGGAGCCCAGAGAGACAATGACAGTTAGCAGACAAAGTGATGGATGATAGTATGCCAGGGAGAAAGTAAAGCTGATAATGGGGACAATGAGTAGGTGAAAATGGGTTGGCTTTGCTTAAAGCAGCCTATATCAAGTCAGAGCCTAGGGTGTAGGGATGGGTAAAGGACATGGAGGAACTGAACTCAATATTGAGTTTTGAAGGCTGCAGAGGACCCAAACAGAAAATGAGATGATATTCCTTAAGCTTGGGCCGAGCCTTGCCAGGCACTGCAGCAGGCCTGAGACAGAAATGTTGGTCAGGGAACATGGTAGTGTGCTGAAGTAGCAGGCAACTGGAAGCCCATGGAGCTCCGAGCTTCAATAATGACCACCAAACGATGCATATGGATTTCATGGAGTAACTTTCCTATCCGTGTTTCTTCACTCTCCGTGTAAAAGCTCCCCATCTGAGATGTTCCAATGGGAGCAGGACAAGTGGAGAATCATGGATGGTGTCTCTTTCAGTAGATTATTTGCTAATACTTTAAATATTTAATGTATAATTAAAAAGAGGGCCTAAAGCTAGTT